ATAAGTGTTTATTTCAAACAAACAATTTATTTTGATATCATGAATATCTTTAACTTAATTTGATGAAAATTTTGTATTTCCATTAAGTTACTTTTGATTCAACAACTCTATAATTTTATCAGTAACTACTTTTATTACACAAACATTTTTTCTATAGTTAAATATTAACTACGAAAATGTGATTTGCACACCCTCTTTGTACTGATACAAACAACTGGCATTCTTTTAATTCCATTAAGTTAGATTTGATTAAACGGCGCTCTAATCACTATCAATAATCACGGCGTTCATCCGGCCACATAAAACGCGATTAATCAGTAGAGACTAATCACAACCTGGCTAATGACTTTTATTATTTGTAAGAGAGAGGACTAATGCACTCACCTAACATCGCGAATGTCCTTGATCATCCGCAGACCCAAATCCACGCAGCACTTGGCATGATCCGCATTCGGGTTGGCCAGTCCAGCCACGCAGTAGTAGCAATCGCCCAGGAACTTGATCCTCAGCACATTGTACTCCTCGCTGGCGATGTCGAATCGCACGAAGAGATCGTGCAGAGCCTCCACCAGTTTCTTCACATCCAGCGTGGTGGTCAAGTGGGTGTAGTTCACCACATCTGCGTAGAGCACGGTGACGTCCTCGTGTGGTTCAATGAAGAGGGTGCTGCAAAAGGGTTATGGGAAGTTGAAGATTATAATAAAGCCCTTTATGAAAAAGTTCCCGGACCACTTTAATTAATAAATAAATAAATAATATAAAATAATACAAAATATAAAATAATACAAAAACTAATACAACACTCCGAGAATATAAATTAATTTTTTATATTGTTTTGACATTTGAAAAATAAAATAAAGTAGTATACAATAGATGTCTAATTGTAAGATGAAAGTAAGTTGTTTTAAGTAGAACACTAAAATACAGTAACATAAAGTATTTATGTAAGTCAACCTTGTCATTAGTGAACAAAATTAAGATAAATGCAATTGGCAGACAGATTTACAACACAACAATTGTCTAAAAATAAAGACTTTTAGGAAAAACATCAATGTCTGATTTAATAACCAAGATCTAATTTAAATAAAATGAATTTAAATGAAATAGAAAGTATTTTAAACCAAATATTTTTCACATTCATTTAAATTTGAAATATTTAATTATAAAATATATTATGCATTGTATTTAATAATAATATGTTTTCATTTTAAATTGAAATATTTTATATACAATTTTAAATTCATTTATGTTTTATTATATTTGAATTGGATTATATGTAGCTGACTTTTATATTCTCGAAGTGTGGAGCTCACACATACAATTATTTTATAAATTTAATTTTAAATTCTCCCTTTCTGGGCATTTATGATCCAAGGATTGGCTTCCAAACTCACCCATGATCCGGCTGTCGCCACCGCTTGAGCGTCTGGCTGTCGGCACTCCTGCGCAGATCCACCTGCGACTGCTGCTGGTGCTGCTGCTTGGACCGCTCGATGCGGTTCTTCACGTCCTCCTGCAGCCGATCTGCGATCTGGGCGGGCAGGATGCTCAGTAAAAGGCTGCGCTCCTGATCCCTGGCATACCGCAGCAGCAGATTCTCCTCCACGTACTGCCTGCGATCTAGGAAAGTGGTTCGCAGCGCAATGTCCCTCATGAGGCGAAAGAAAATGCCCAGGAGATTGACACAACTCAAGTAGATAGCCTCGTTCAGGATGCTGTGCATCTGATTGTCATCCTTGGCGGTGATCACAAAACTATAGTTGATTATGTAGCAACAGGTGACCGCTGAGCCGAGGACAAATGGCTGCAGCAGATACGGCACCGGCATGAACATATAGATGGCATACAGCGTATACGCATCGTATATCGGATTCAGGATGTCATTGTGGCTCGTGGCATGGTAGACATTCAGCCCAATGTCCATCAGGACCATCACACAAACCGCCAGCCACGAGGTGGCATACACAATCCAGCCGTGCTTGCTCACCAACTCACTGCGGAAATTCAGGGACAGCACTATCCAAATGACCAGGCCGGAGCACATGTAGGCCACCATGTCCACGTACACGTACTTGATCTCCGGCGTGGTCAGCAGCAGCAATGTGTGGATCAGGGTCACCGCCACGTGGATCAGGATGAACAGCGACAGGTAGCCCACCCGCAATCGACCCATGTACAGGTCGTACGACTCCTCCAGCTCCAAATTTCGACATTTTCTCTGCGGGATTAACATTGTTAAGGGGTAAGTCAATATCACTATGGACTGATGTAATTGTAGTATATGAGTATTATTTATTAAACCTTTTGAAATTTCCTTGTACAGCAGAAAATGCCTTTCTGCCTAAAAGGTTCAAATACTTTGTTAAAACGGTACGAATGAAAAATTTTAAAAATGTAAGTATTTAGTCAAATGTTTAATCATTTTTCGTTACAAAATTTGAAGTTTTTTATACTTTGTTAAGAATGTGGTTTGGTTTGACATTAAATAAAAAGTTTAAATACTTTGCTTAAACGGAACGAATGAGAAAATTTTAAAAAGTGCATTTATTTAGACAAATCTTTAATCAGTTTTAGTTACTAAATTATCGGAAGTTTTGTTTGTTTTTAAAAATATACTTATATACTTAGTGAATATAAAATATAGCTCTGTTTACTGATAGTTTTATTTCCCTTAAAAATTTATATTAAATATATTTCCTAAAGCCAAGATTCTTCGAAGAATCGAAGAGCAAACATTTTGATACGAAAAACCGGGAAAGAACACATTTTTTAACAACTTTTATTGGTTTCACTTCCTTCTGCTATAGAAAGATTAAGTTTATTTATCCGTGTGATTTAGGTTTATTAGAGGTGGATTCTATTCAATTCGGTTAATAAGTTGAGCCTTGAATGCATTTTCGTCTTGAGTTAAATTTTGTAAAATCGCAAAAGCTAAATATATATACATAGATCAGTGAAGTGCCCTTCTCTCATACTAAAATTAAGTTTATTATTGACGTTGTACTAACAAGTGCCTTGATACTTTGTTATTAACTTTAATAGGAATATGAACAGAAAGTGATTTTCTTATCGACTGGGCGCTTGAAATAAAAAACACTTAGTTATACCTACAAACAAATGTACGTAAAATTTGTATATTCAGTTACTTGTTTCTTGACAAAAACAGAGGAATTACAATTTAACAGGTTCAGTATGAATATAAAAATAGTTGTTATAAAAAGTTATTTATATTTGATTTGTTATTTACAGGAATTTTGCATTCGGTTGCAATTTGGTCAATAGAGATTTTAGTGTCGACTTGTAAAGATTGTCGCTGCATATAAAGATAAAGTGTTGCCCGAATAAAAGTTTCCACACCAATTATTCTTTATAGACAAAGACTAACCCAAAAGGGCGATGCACTCACCACAAGATATGACCATTCCCAGTTCTTCTCGTTTTGCACGGTTTGGGCCTGTTCGCTGGTCCTGGCCAAACTAATGGGATTGGTGCGGTTGTACTCGATGGCCGAGTCGAAGTAGGAATCCATTATGGAGCCGGGTCAGGGATTGGATCGCAATCGGAATCGGAATCAGAATTGGAGCATTTCCAGCGGTATCATTTTCGGTGGCAGCTATCCACAACAATCAGAGGGTGTCTGGTGAAAAGCATATCACTTATTATCTGATCAAACAATTAGCCACTAAGCTATCTAAGCAGCAACAAAATCCCCAATAGGCATTCGAATCAGTCAATTGACGGGCCATTCTTATCGGAGTCACAAAAAAATGTAGTGAGAGGGTGTGGATTTTGGTGCTGTGAGTTGTGAGCTGTGCCATTGCGATGCCATTTGTATGGCTGCAAAAACAGCGGCTAATTTAGCAATTTGTCTAATGTTCTGTTGATAGTGTGCTAATGGTCTGTAAATCACACTCACCCGCACACTCGCCTTCGCACTCCAAATCGTTTCAGACGGAGTCCGTTTGCATTATCAGTTGCAATTTGAACGGAAAAGGATCACGGCTATATATGGCAGTGTAATTTATTTACGGGCTTTGCACTTGAGCACCGTGCGATTTTGCACTTCACTTTCACGTTGGGTAATAAATACGATAATAATTAATAAAAAATTAACACCACTTAAGCGCGTAGCGCTTCAACAAGCCAATACACGGCGGACAGGTATCACAAATTACTCTTTTTTTCTTCTTCCGCGATAAGCACTCGCCCCGATTCCTCATAAGTATTCCCGTCCGTTCGAGTGAGGTGTCGATATATACATATATTCGCTGGGTATCGGAGATCCACAAACACGACCGATGCCAACGAATTGCTGCGACCAACTGAGGGACCAACACACCTGTTCATTGTTGATTGTTGATGGCTGAGTGCTGAGAGTTGAGTATGAAGTATGAGGTGTAAGGTATAAGGTAAGGTGTGAGTACGAAGTGAAGAGTCGGCTTATCGGTATGAAAAGTGTTTGGCGGCACTGGCGCCTGATTGATGACACAGCTGTGTTGAGTGATAAGTATTCCGAAAAATGATAAAATACTTTGTTTTAGTAAACATTAATTGATTAAAACTAATATAGTTTAGCTTAGGTTTGTTTATACATTTAAATTTCAATTTGAATTAATGGCGCCCTAGCAAAGGCGCCCTCTGGCGGAAAAAGTTAGAAAGTAGACATTGCCAGCCCTGGTTTTTGTTTCGGTTAGCACAAATTTAGTCAATCTGGCAGCACAACTTCTTAAAAATGCTAGTAGTTTTTGTACTGAAATACAAGAACACCAGTTTGTACAAAGTTTCTCTGTCTGTTTTATATTAAAAGTTTGCCACAACAGTTTCCGGTTCTTCAATATGCATAACAAAAGGTTTTACTCATTTTACACATGCAAAATAATGCTAATAATTGAATTCCACTTTAAACTAATTACCCGCCTTCAGAAATGTGACCATTTGTAGGCTGGTCAGAAATACCACAAGTTATAAATCAATATTCGGCTATTCTCGTAACCTAAGGCTACGGTCACACTACGTGCAAGCTGTTTATTTTCTCGAGTCGGAAAATTGCTCACATTTTCGGTCTCATTTAATATATAAGATAGCCGGAAAAAGGGGAGAAAAAAAGCTGAGCAGCCATGTCGGCCTTCACGGAGACGGCTCTCCTCAAGAAACTGGCCGAATTGAACAGCAGCCAGCAGAGCATCCAGACCTTATCCTTGTGGCTGATTCACCATCGCAAGCATAGTGCGGCGATTGTGAAAACCTGGCAAAGGGAATTGGAAAATGGTGGGTAGTCCTGGCTCTCCATATATATTCTACCCTATAATTTGAATATATAATCTATTGAACAGTTGCCGAGCCCAAGAAACTAACCTTCATGTACCTGGCCAACGATGTGATCCAGAACAGCAAGAAGAAGGGTCCGGAGTATGGCAAGGAGTTCAACCAGGTGCTGGGCAAGGTTTTCGCCCACATTGGTGAGAAATGTGGCTCCGACAAGCTACTGGGCAGCCTGGGCAGGATCTTAAACATTTGGCTAGAGCGTGGCGTCTACGATCCCAAGGCCATTGCGGATTGGAGGTCACGATTGCACCGGGAAACCACTACCACCAATGGCAAATCCTATGGCGGCGGTGGAGCCAGTGAAAAGCCAGAAAAGTCGGAAAAGCCAGAAAAGGCGGAAAAAGAGCATGGCCACAAGGAGAAATCGGAACGCCGGGAGAAGCGCAAGCACGAGGATCGTCACTCCAAGTCGAAGCGTTCCAGGCAACATGCTCAACCGACTACAGGCAGCAGCACCAGCACCAGCAATAGCTCCGCCAATAACAGTGCTCCTCCGCCCGAGGAAGTCGTAGTTGTGGAGCCGGAAAATGGCCATACACCACCGTATTTGCCTCTGGGCGAACCCCCCGAACCCGAGGAGCTCATCAAGGCCCTGACCAGCATCGAGAACTCCGCCTCCAGTGATGCAGTGGTGCGCGAGAGGATCGCCAAGCTGCCGCAGGAAATATCCGAGATCAGCTGCATCAGCAAGCTGGAGGACAAGGACAAGGCCAAGGCTCTGGCCGTGCAGGTGGGAATCAAAACTTGGTCGAAATAGAAGCACTTTAGAAAGAAATCTAAAGCTTACTATAGCAAAATCAGGCATTAAGGCTCAGTAATGAAGCTAAGAAATCAAAAATCTTACAAAATGTTGACACATAAAACTTTGTATATGAAAAACTTTTGATTTGGAAAGTCATTTTGTTTATATGGCATACTTTTGTATTTTGTCATATATACATGACTTGCCATTTAAGACTAAAGAGTTTTCACATGAAATGCAAATGCAAATCATATTTACAAATCGTATTTATACTATTCTATTTTCTTCTATTCTGACTATTTCTATTTAGTCTTGTGCCTATTTCCACTTAAAAAAGAGCTGTCCTTTAGCTAAAAATCTCAAATAAAACACCTTTTTAAATTGGGAATTAAGAATATAGATCTATATTGTGAATTTGATTATTAATTATTTTTTACAAACACCTTTTTCAGGTCAACGAAGCTGTGGATCTGCTCAATGATTACAACGCTCGACTGGCGGCGGAAATGGAGGAGCGCACCAAGTTGGCCACCATGCTGCGGGATTTTCAAGTGGAGCAAAAGGAACTTCTGTCCCAGGCTGAGCTACGTCTCGATGTACGTTCCACATCATGGTTTAAGCCCTGCATGCTTTTTGGGGGTTGTTAAATAAGGATAATGGGTGCTTGTCCCTCACAGAACTGATTAAATTTAGACAACCTCATTATTCTGAGACGTTAACCGCCAAAAGATCAAGCGCTTAAAACGCTTTAAAATTGTAAAGAAAACTAGTTTTAGAGAAATCTATGGTCAGATTGTTATTTACCCAAAGCTATTATTTTGAGCACGTTAGCTGCAAACCCCAATCCTGAACAATCCTTACTAAATCAAAAGAATTGAAACTGTTTAAAAATTTGTATTGAAAGATTGCTATTTGTTCCGTTTGTATATTTGTATTTAATTTGTATTAAAAAACCCTGAATTCAGTCCCCTTTTTATTACTCACGAACTTGCAACATCATCGCCTAATTTTGTGTGTCTTTGCAGGAACACAAGAAGAAGCTGGCCAGGATGTTGGGCCTGCAGAAGGAGATCCACGATCACCTGTCCAACCTGCCCGACCTGACGCAATTGCCGGATGTGACCGGCGGACTGGCGCCCCTGCCCTCCGCCGGCGATCTCTTCAACGCCCTGCATTAATGGCGATCCCGATACTGATTCGGAGCCACTTAAAGTCGTGTTTAGAGTTTATACATACTTATACCTTATATTTGCAATTGTTCCCCTATTGGCAAACCCTGATTGTAATCCAAAACACACACACGCCCACTAATTACGTTTGAATAATAGCAGCTAATTGCCAGCAACTTACATTTCTCGTTGGATTAACAACTTAGTTCATCACGTAGTTGGCGGTGCCCTGCCACTTTTCGATGAAGGATATGATGTCGGCGATGCCGCTGCCAGGAGACATCTTTAGGGCCACCGAAAACTTGCTCCAGACATCGCGGTTCACTTGGTTGCTGGACGATTGAAAGGTCACCGGTTGACGACCCCTCACTGGAAACCCACTCAGCATGCAGGCCAGATCATTGGCCCCCAAACTGGATTCGTACAAGCCACGATCATCGGTGGGCAACTGCTGGTCCACCTGTTGATCCATGCTCACGGCCAGCACCCATTCCCGCACTTCCTCATGCAAACCGGGGTCATTCTTCAGGTGAATGTCCTCGGGCAGGGGCACGGAGCTGGGAAAATCGGTGCTAGCCAGATCGGAATGATCCACCAGCTGACCGGAGCCCTCCTCAATGGCTTCGCACACGTCCAGATAGTGGTTGAGCATCACAAAGGCCTCGGATTCGCGACCTGCCTGGCGCAGATCCATTCCGGCTTCGTAGAAACCCTTGTCCACGGGCAGCACATCGGTGTGGCGCAGCAGAGCCAAGGATAGTCGCAGAGCCACGGGCTGCAGGGCCTGCACCTCCTTGCAGCGTGCCCTGGTGGCATAGTAGTGAGCTATCAGGAGGAACTGCTCCATGTTGACGGTGAACTGGGATTGCGACTGCTCTGGCATGGCCTTCAGAGATTGCAGCAGGCGGTGGAGGAAGTCCCTCAACTGGCGCCACAGGGAACCACCCTCCGTTTGATCCTCCCGCAGGGCGAGACAATCCAAGGCTATCCTGGTGTAGATATTGAAGTGGGCTTCGATGGGCGGCGCTCCATAGCTCAGGTAGAGACCCAGGGCCGTGGAGCAGTTGCCCTCGCGGATCAACTGGGCTGCATAGACAGCCACGTACTTTTGCAGCAGGCCAGGATTCAATTGCTTGGCCTTCTCCAGGCAGCGCTGCCATTGACCCTGCTCCGCCAGCAGATCCAGAGCCGAAACGACATCTATGTCGGCCAGCTGCTCGATATTCCCCTCGTGCCGCAGGCTGGCCTTCTGCTGCTGCTCCACATAGGCCAACAGCTGCAGGTCCGCATCGATCTCCTTGGCCAGCCGGCGGGCCTTGCTCCACTGCTCCGTCTGGATGAACACATCCACCGCCTGCTTGGGCAGATCGGCAGCCAGATAAAGCTGGGCCGCCGGTCCGATCTGCTTGATGGCCAGCAGACGGGGTCCCAGCGCCTGGGCCAGCTCCTGGGCATCCGCACCTTCGAGGAACTGATTGCAGATCTCGGCTGCCCGCAGCAGGGCTCGCTCCAAGGTGGCTGCATCCTCGGCATTGCCGGAATCGATTTGCATCAGGCACTCGGCCGCCTTGCGGAACTGCTCCTTCTTGGCGAACTCGGCTGCCTTCTGCAGGTAGCCCCGGGACACGGAGGCGCCATCTTCACCCTGGGAGCCCTGAGCTTGCACTTGACCCCTCTGAAGTTGGGCCTGCAAGCGCCTGAGGTCGTTCAAGGCAGCCGGATAGTGCTCCTCGGCAATGCGCAGGGCATCTTCGTAGAGGGACTCCTGTTTGTAGTGTTCCACTATCAGGTCCGGACGATGGGCCCTTAGGAGCAGAGCCTCATAGTCCTTGTAGTTGCGGGTCTCCAAGGCAGCCGCCGCTTGTCCGATGAGCACTTCGCCCACGGCATCCGGCAGATGGGATTCAGCCACATTTAGGGCCGCCTGCCAGTCGCCCGCATGCTGGTACATCAGTATGGCCTCCTTGGGTTTGTTGGCCTTCAGGAACTCAGCCTCTGCTGCCTCGAACTTACCCTCATCCTCCAGGGACATGGCTATTTTCAGGTGCACCTCGTCGGTGGGTCTGCCCGCAAAGCGGCACAGTTCCATGGCGAACTCAAACTGGCCGGAGTCGCAGGCAAAACCCACTGCCGTATCGAGGAGGCCCAGTTTGCTGAGCAGCCGCACGGCACCTTCGGTGGGCATGGATTTGGCCCACATGTAGGCCACCTGCTGGCTGGCTCCCTCGGTGCCCTTCTGCTTGGCCACCCGGTAGCCATCCTCCCAGCGTCCCGACGAGCAGTACATGTGCACGGCGGACTTCCAATCGCCCGAGGCCACGAAGTGCAGCTCTGCATTCTTCAGTTTACCCCGCGATTCCAGTTGCCTGGCCAAGTGCAGATGGGTGCTGTCCAGCAAATCCTTGTGATGACGCTCCACCAGACGTATCATGGAGTCGTACAGTTCCCGGCGCTTGTACATGGCTATGGCCAGATCGGGTTCATTCACGGCTATCAGTACCTTCTCGGCATCCCTGTACTTGCCCTGCTCCTCCAGCGTTCCAGCCAGTTGGACAAAGAGCTCCCGGAGTTGCTCCGCCTTTAGGTACTTCTCACCTATGACATAGGCTCGCTCCCATTTGCCATGACGATTGAGCAGTTCGATGGCATCCTTGTGCAGATGGGCCCGCACCAGCATGTCTTCTGCTCCATCCAGATCCCCGGCAAAGGCCAGATGCTTGGCCAGATCCAGGGCATAGCGTTGTATGAGCTCCGGTTCGTCGAGGACCTTGGCTATCTGGACCGCCTTGCGCCATTGCTTGGCACCCACGGCGGCTTCCAAGGCTTTCTGGGTGGCTCCCGCCTCGATGTAGTGATTGATGGAGGCATCCAACTGCTTGCGAGCCACCAACCAGTCGCCCCACTCCTCCTCCAAGGCGGTCACCTCCTGGGGCGCCACAATGCGTCCCAGTTCCAGGGCCCGGGCATAGGCTCCTCCCTTGCGGTAGAGTGCTAGAGCGGCTTCCGGACGCGATAGTCGATGGGCTATGTCGCCGGCCAGTTCGTAGAGTTCGGAGCGAACCAATCCCTCGGTGACCTGCAGCATCACTTGCTCGTCCTGCAGGATGTGCGGTGTCTTGAGCGCCAAGCGGGCTGCTCTGGCTGGCTTGTTGGCCTTGAGGAACAGGGACATGGCCTGCTGGAGATCCCCTTGCTCCTCCAGCACCTGGCCGGCCTTCTCCTGCTGCTCGCTGCTCAGCAGGTAGTCCATGTGCTGCTGTTTCAGGCTGGAGATTCCATTGTAGCCACGTCTCTCCGCCAGAGACACTGCCTCGTCCCACATTCCCAGCTGTTGGTACATCCTTAGAGCTGCCTCAATGTCTCCCTGCTCCAGGTAAATCCTCTCTGCAGTTCGCAAGTCCGATCCCAGCAAAGCCATTTTGGCCCTAACTTCGGGACAGAGTGTGCCAGGTGAACCGGAGGACTCCTCGAACTCATCCGCCTGCCGAATCATCTCGGCCAGGTAGTACGCCTTGGAAACATTGCCCAAGGCGGCATAGCATCTCTGCGCCACTCGAAGGTTTCCATCATCCAGGGAAATCATGGCCAGATTGTGCCACATGGCTTTGGCAGCGGGCTTGTCACCCAGGGTTTCCAGGAAATGAACAGCCCTTCCGAAGTCGCTGTCATTCACTGCCGTGCCAAACTCCACGAGGCCCTCGTCCAACTGGTAATTGTGCTCACTAGGTCCATCCTGAGATCTTACGACGGTACGACCCTGTAGGGATTAGTAAGTATGTATAACAAAATCTAAAATACAAATAACGATATTAGTATACAGTTTGGGTCATCATAATAAAAACAAAGCAAAACTTAACACTTAAACTTACAATTTTTAAGGCATACGACAATTTTTTCTTTCAATTTATCATAATGCTTACATTCAAATAAACGACATTGTGTACAAAACAAATTTGCTATTTTTTAAGTGATTACATTTTTTTGTCTAACTGATTAAATTTTCTTTAAAATTCACTTTTAAGTATTTGATTGTAAATCTTTTTAGATCAATCTAAACAAATCACAATATTTTAACTGGACATAGAAAATAAAAAAAAAATTTAAGAGCTGATCAATTTTTTTAAATTATAAATTATCAATAAAAATGTCAATCTAACTTTTTAATAAATAGTTTCAAATATATTACTTATTTAAAACGAACTAACTTATTTAAAAATAAACATTAGATGGAAATAAAAATGGTTAAGCCTATTTTTAAAAATAAAAATACAAAAACAAATTTTATTAAATCTTTTAAAATATTATTTTTCTTATTTAGTTGTTAAAAGTTTTTTAAAAAGTTTTTTGAAAGTTTCTTCTTATTTTGCTTTTCCATAAACTAAAAAAACTACTATTATTTTGACCGCAACTGTATAGGACATGACTTACATTCTCGCGCAGCACCTCGATGGCTTCACCGCGAACGCTTTGCATGGTGACGTGCTCCGGAAGATCGATGTTGTACCAAATGGCCAAATTGGAGTTGCTCTGGGCCACCACGACATCGCTTTGCGGCACCCACTGGACGAAGGATATGTTGCTGAGCAGGGTCTGCTTTTTGCCAGTGTAGTTATCCACCAGAATCAGACGCAGCTTCTTGTCCCGAAATAGGAGTTTATGGGCAGTCTCGCTCAACTCCAGCCAATCGATTTTGGTTTCATGGTTTATCTGGCCACTGGTCATCCGACTGACCAGATCCACCACACAAATGGTTTTGGCGTCGAGGAGAAAGGCCAACTTTTTGTTTTCCCTGGCATTGCCACGCTCATTCAGACGCACTGAGATGACGTGGGGATTCACGAATTCCGTGCGAACCGATCCCAGGATAGAGTTATCCCCGTATTCCACCAAACTCAGTTCGCCTACATTGAAAACCAGGCATACAGTGGGGTTCTCAAAGTAGAAACGCTCATGGTGACCGGAGGCGGTCCAGGGAACTTCGCTGCTCAAATTGCGGGTCAGGTCACACAGGATCAGGGACTCCTCGGTGCGGGCCACCAGGTAGTTATCCCTGCCCATGATCCTCACATCATCGATCTCCAGGCCCAGCTGCGACTCAATGGTGAGCTGTTGCGCGGGTTCCGTCAGAGATCTCACCAGCAGTTGACTGGGCGCCACGAAGATCAGCTCGAACTTGTCCT